ACGTGAGTTTTGGGTATTCCAGCAACCTGTTCTGAAACTGTAGGAATATTCGTTGAAACGTATTGAATGAAGGATTACCCAAGAACCAGTTGACAGATCGTCGTGATTTTAAGTATGTTTAGGAGCTTAAGAGATTTTTTATAATTAGATGCAAACAATTATATGCAGACGGCACTATTGCCTTGTACATTGTAGGGCCCAAAAATTTGAAGACGATTGTAGTCCGCAGTTGATGATTTTAAAAATTCTTATTTTCTTCTTCTACTTTGGAGACTTCGGGGCTAAGAATAAGTAGCAAAGAAATGGTCAAAATTTTCCTAATTTGGTCAAATTTTGTTTATTTCACCAGTTTGATGGGTATAAAGAGAGAACTGAGCGGTGAGGTTTTGCCTGCCCATACTGGATGGATAAGTGAGAAAATTAAATCTTAGAAAATGGAAGTTTTGCCCATATCTTTAAAGTTTACATGCATGGATTTTTCTCCGACAAATATGACGGATTGGGCAAACTTTTTGGCCGTCATGAGCAGCAAAATTCCGTCAAATGACGGAAAAACGGGCGCTGCATAGAAACCTGGCGCCAAGAATAAATGACAAAAATGAGAGATAATTACACAAATGTGTAAAATGTGAAAGAAAATTACAGATTTTAATATTCTAATTGTTAATGCAAAACTCTTACGCAATGCCCATATAACATCTTACCACAGTTATACGTATTGATTCATATTGTCATGTTATCATTTTCACTATTTTAATATTGTTGCCATTACTATAAAAGGTATTATCACTTAAGATAGTGTAATTTATACCCTAGTGAAGGCATCTAAGGTCACTTGTAACCTTTACTATTTAAGGTACATGAGTAAAATGTTTCTTCGAATAACTCAAAGTTTACCCCACCTAAGTAATGACAGAAAATACTAAAATGTTTACAGGTAAGATTACGCGTGCGATTGGCTCGAAAATGCTTGCTTGATAATCGATAAGACAGCACGTTTATAGCTGTTGTTTATAACTAACCTTCACTGCCGCTCAGATCGCGCACGTTCCGATTGGCTGCCTCATTTGGGCCTCGTATGGGTCCTGTGATAAAAAAAAGTCCATTCACTCATTCATTCATTCATTCATTCATCCATTTATTTATTTATTACCTTCGCCAAGAACGTTGTGTTTTCGTTGGCGTTCGTGTGTCTTGTGTGTGTGTGTGTGTGTGAGCACGATGACTCAAGAAGGCTAAGATGGATTGTCTTGATACTTAGTAGGTGGGTAGGTCTTCATGAGACGTGAAACTGATTAGATTTTGGGCCCCCGAGCGGCTTGTTATGGTACTGCAGCTGAACTTCCGGTTTTGATATCTCGTGATCTAGACATGCTAGGGTGGATGGCAGGTAGCTCATGTGCTGGGGAACAAGTGACGTGAGTTTGGGCCCCCTAGTGGCTTGCTTTGGAACTGCAGGGGCATTAGTTGAAAAAGGTTAAAGGCGGATAACTCAAGAACCGATTGATGGATCGTCGTGATCTTTGGCATGAAAGTAGCTGAAGTGATGATTGACATAATGATATTACAATTATGCAAATATTAATGTTATTTGCAAAATTAATGAGGAAATTCTATAAATCAGCTGCATTCCATGATAGGACTATTCAAGCTTGTGACATATGTAATTCAAAACGGCAGAAATACAGGCAGATATCGATTATGTAAATGAAGACTTAATTTGCATAATTAACGAGAAAATGTTATAATTACATAGTGGTAATGTCTGGAATTTCATACTTGGGATATTTGAAAGTTATGTGAAGGTGAACATAATTAAACATAACTTATTCAAATAAGGACCTCATTTGCATAATTCATGAGGACATGCTATGATGGCATGCATTGATAAGATAAGACTGTCTTCTGGTGTAGAATATGATCAACAGATATAATTGATGCAATATAGGATCCTATTTGCACAATCAGGGGGATTCATCTATAATTTCTTAGTCATAAAGGCTAACATCATTTGGCAAAGGTATTAGATCGTGGAACTCTAGTTGATAATATAACTGTTGTTTTATCTCAATAACTTCCAGGTACAATTTGTTTTGGTGACTTATGATATCGTTTGTATCACAGTTGAATGGAGGGTAGGAGAAGGCTTTGACAGGTGATTGATTGGGTGGTCAAGAGTGATTGAGAGTGACTGAGCACGGGTCACTCTCTGAGCAAATGTACATTTCAATTCCAATAAGAAAAATACCGACAGGTTCAGTTGTTCGATGAAGTTTGTCCATACTGTGGTCAAGACATTAACATTCCTAACCTGACAAAATATACTGAAACTTTCAACCAAGTGACCACGGATGAAAAAAAAAAGATACGATAACAGCTTCTAGGAGAAAACACTTACAAATCAATTCAATATAAAGGGTTTAAAGACTATTATTGCCATCGATTAACAGTTTCAAGTGCTTCGGTGCTCAAAACAATATTTAAACAGACCGTAAGGTATTTTATCATTGTTGAACGATCCCATACTGTCTCGCAAGGTGGCGTGATGATCTGCCATCCCGTCATGGCCACCTGGACCTGGCCCACCATTCGGCTTCTGTCAACAATAAAAGAGTTCATTATCCGCATCAAAGGGTTTTTTTTTTAAACTAATGTTCGGATTTTGCTACAACAAGGGTGGCGACATTTGCTATTAGAAAGATATCTTAGCCTACATTTAGTTTGAAGGTTTTGAACTTGTTTGCTTAATTGTCCAGGCAAGGGTTCACCTTCCTATTTATTGCATTTATTTACAAGTCTCTACACACACGCGTTGCTTAGAACCGTAATGTTAAATCTTGTTAATAAACTCGTGGGTCAATCTCAAACAAGACGACTACCGTGTAAATATATAAATAAAGGAAAATAAAATAAAACACTGTTTTTAAATGTCAAAATACTTCATAATAAACAAAGACATCCAGGAAAAAGCCAGTCAAATGCCATAAATTTAGTCCAAAATTTGCCTCTGGAACAATAGAAGATTTTTATCGACGCTAGTGACCGGGTCTTACCTCAATTCGTCGCCTGGGTTCTAAGGTGCCGCCACCGGTCGCCTTGTCTATGGTATTCGGTGGTTCTTTTTCATCGTTCAACGGTTTGGCGCAGATCGTGACAGCCAGGATGGCAAGTATCAGAAGTTGATTCTTCATGATTCTGTACGGCGGAAAACAAAGTTAAGGAGTTCAATGTACAAATGACACAACGAGAGCAAAAATTAAATTTGAGGTGAGGTTCTCTGAATGTATAATTTATTTAGCATATATAACATGTTGTGATACTACATAGTTTAGCCTCATTAATTTAATTTTATTGATACGAATCAGTCCATCTTTTCAAGAAAAATCTTGGACCTTTTGATAAAAGTGGACTTTGGAGCGTTGCGGGGGGTTTCTTCCGAACCTTCCTGGCTACGGCCATGCACTCTACCTCTCCCTCACACAAACACACACATACACACACACCCCCCACACACCCACACATTCATGACTCACAAAAATAAACACATTCTCTCAATCATACACACACTAACACCAAAACACACATAAACACATACTCACTCAAGCACTGATTCTCACACACACAAAACACAACTTAAACCGTTGCCTAAAGCCTTTACAGCTTACAATAGTCAAAATAATTGTCACACGCCAAAGATACCGTCATGTGCCATCCTCAACAAAAACTAAGGCTTCTATAAGTTGTAAGAAAACACTGTTTCCATAAATTTCTTAAAAATAATGTACATCATATATACAGTAATACAAGTATAACATTTGTATATAAACTAAGCCATATCTTTTCTACAGAAGAATTTTTTGTAGTTTTCTTAGTTAAAGGAAACCTGTCCGATTTCTGCTATCAAAAGGAAAGACGTCGTTTTTAGATAGATTACTAAACTTTTTTCCTAAAGCACCTCGTTCTACTAAGAATTTCTGCATATTTATTTTGCTTTTATCGGTAGCAGTACAGTAAGTGTATGTTTTAATTTCACTCAAGGAAAACCTGACCTCAACAAAAAACTGTCCACTGCAAATAAAATAGAGGATACGTCTCCTTGGTGCACATGTCAACATAGTTTTCTGCCAATAGAAGTCAGCAGATACACACCCGTGCAATGAATTATTCATACTCATACTCAACAATAAATTCGTCATATTCCAATATAAAACAGTACAATGCGGCAAGGCTACAGCCATTGTGTTTACCTGGTGGCTAACAATAGACCTTCTCATCTTTATACCATGAACATTTAATAGGTTTTAAGTAATTTTCCGCGGAGGTGCTGTCACAACAGCTCGTCACAATATGGTGTTGTTAGAATACTCCTAAAATTTTTATTCCCACAATTTTGTTGAAAGATACTATTCACTAGATATATGAAAAATACCTGCAAAATGTTTTTAGATAGTAAATTCAAGATCTGAGCTTAAAAAGCAATAATCTTTCCCTTTTCCCTGCATACTAAGATCATTTACAATTCATGGCAATTTTGCAATGGAGTAAATAGTACATGGGTTTATTGTAGAAACAGCCGTATACTCACATTCCAATTAGACGGCGCGATCTCTGCGCTCAGACCAATTTCAGGTCGCAAAGATAGCGCAGAATAAGGGTATTAGCAACATAATTTAGATACTATAAATACGTAATGTTATGTTTAAAAGAATGTTTATGATGGTTTACTGATATCCAAACCACGACAAAATCGCTAGCGGTTTAAATATTCTTGTTCCTTTTTAGTGTGATTATTGTTTATGTTTTGAAATGTTGCAAATGTTTGTCAACAAAGTTTACTTTTATTGAAAAAAATCAATGTATTATTAGCGGTGAGTTTTATGAGAAAATTTATACACATCTTTATATACATTTTTGGGTATTTCCCAGTAACACACATACACTGGTGCGACTGTCAAACTAACGGTTTTATTACCCCTGTACATGTACGCTAAAACACCCCCTCCATACACCTACATACAGCAATACTACAACCTAAACTACCCGTAACCAGACATTTGAACTCGACACCCAGAATTGAAGCTGCAAAATCACAAAAAGCTATATTGCCTGAATATTTTTGGTGCAAAAACACCGTGAAGCTGAGAAAATATCTGCACACTAAACTTGAATTTAAAAAAACAGTGGTTATCGCAATCCTCAACAACAACTACGGCTTCTATAATTTAGAGAATAACGTTACCATTTCAGTATACTCCTGTCAGAAGAATTACTTAAGAAGCATCCTTGAAATTACCAGGAATTTACATTTTTCTTTCTAAATAAGATTTTGTTATTTTATTTTAGCAGAAAAGGCTTGAGCGCCCTCCGTTTTAAACGGAGAGGGGGCGCAATTCTTTTTTGTTAGATCAGTCTGTGTATTTTTTTTTCAGTTCACTTAATATTATGAACAATTTCAATGTGGTTTTATGTGCAAGGAAAAGAAGACTATCATACAAACCTTTAGAAGATTTTCGAACAACAGTCCACTGCAGATGAAATAAAGGAAACGTCGTCTGGGTGAATATATCAACATAGTTGTGTTTTCTGCCCAAAGAAGTCAGCCGAGACACACCCGTGCAATAAATTATTCATAGCGTAGCATGCCTCAACAATGAATTGCTCATATTCCAATACGAAACAGTACAATGCGGCAAGGCTACAGCCATTGTGTTTACCTGGTGGCTAACAATAGACCTTCTCATCTCTACACAGTGAAAATTGATTAGGTTATACGGAAGTAATTTTCCACAGAAGTGTTGTGTTAAGAGCTCGACGAAATATGGTGTTGTTAGAATTCTCATAGAATTTTTATTTTCACAACTTCTTGAAATTATTCTACTTTAAAACAATATGTAAAGATAAAACCTGCAAAATATTTCGAATGCTGAATTTGTAGATGTTACAAAGAAATAATCTTGCCCTTTTCTCTTGCTTATGAAATTCGTTAGTATTCACAAAAAATTGCAATGGAGTAAATAGTACATGAGCTTAACCATATAAAGTATTTTACTAAAGATACAGCCTAAGCAAACTAGTTTAGCAAAATAGAACATATTACAATATAAATTATAAAGTTAAATATAAAATGTTCAATACAGGTTTATAACTGTTCACCACGATAAAATCTACGAAAAAAAAACTCAATAATATGAATATTCTTGTACCTTTCAGAGCGATATTATTGTTCTTTGAAATGTTGTAGGTACTGCATGTTTCTTGCAACCTTTGAGCCGCAAAGTCTATACAAATCTTGATATACGTTCGCTGTATTTCTCAGGGACACACATACACTCATGACTCAAAAACATAGTTGACAACAGCTACACAAAGTACACCTACATACGGAAAATCCATCTCAATTTCTGGTGTACCTGTATTGATTTTCATTTTTTAACTGGAATTTTATTTTCTGTACGTGCATGAAAAATATGTACCTGTGTCTTGTCAACAAATAAGGTTTTCTTCATAAGAAATCTAGTCATTGTCTGTGATATATTTTTGGTGTGTCAAATATTTGAATTTCATTTATTGTTAGAGAAGATACAGTCCACACTCATCTAATTTATGTTAAAATCCATGGCAGATTCTTTGCTGCAACGGAACAACCGTTTCAACGGAAGAAACGTTTCAAGTAGCATCAACTACTTTTATAATACAGTCACAACAAATTCCGGATACCACTTGAAACGTATACAGTCTTGCAATTTACCCAATTGCTTATGTATTCCTTTTACTATTATACAACTTTTACTTCTAGGCCCCTACACGCTTAAACAATAATACTGAGCCAATATTCATGCCTCATTACAAACATAACCTTCTTGGCTAAGCTATGGTACGTTGCGTACTATACTTACCCATTTCCTGCAAGGCAGTATTTTGTGCTTATTGAAGCAAACAAGTGTAAACATGTTTCGGCACTTATCATTCTATTTTCAAAGTAATTATCAATGGAATTAAGACGATATCGTAGCCAGCTAACAAACCTTTAGACGATTCCCATTCAAAACTACGCTGCGGGAGAAATGTCTTCGAGCAAAAATGACCACAGTTATATTTGCAGCCAATCTAAGTCAACATGGAAGCACCTGTGCAATAAATTATTCAAACTGTGGCAGGCATGGACACTGGGCGAAAAGGCCTCGGATGCAGCCGGATTCCAAGGATCCGAATTTGCATCACCTTGCGGATACTGCGGAATCCCCAAGAATCCCCAGGATTGCGGATCCCACACACATCTGTAACGCATACGTATGCATCCGTAACTCGCATCGGATGCAGATGCGGCATTTGTAGGGATACTTACCTCGCAGCGGATGCAGACACGGCATCCGTATGGATACTTACTCGTTACGTATACGTTAGAAATAATACGTCGTTAGGATAGGAAATGTCACATTTTTAGGGGTCGTGACCTGTCATATTTTTGGACCTCGAATACTAACGTTTATAACATAGATATAAGTCAGACAATCCACTATACACTGGATACAAGGATACTCGTATTCTTGGGAGGTTTTTTTTACATCCTTGGTCCACTCCACAGCAGAAGCGAATTGTGGGTAATCTGGGGATTTCTGGAATATCCGAATTTGCTTTTTTACGCATTCGCGGGCCCACTCCACAGCAGAAGCGAATTGTGGGTAATCTGGGGATTTCTGGAATATCCGAATTTGCTTTTTTACGCATCCGCGGGCCCACTCCACAGCAGAAGCGAATTGTGGATAATCTGGGGATTTCTGGAATATCCGAATTTGCTTTTTTACGCATCCGCGGGCCCACTCCACAGCAGAAGCGAATTGTGGGTAATCTGGGGATTTCTTAAATATCCGAATTTGTTTTCGTACGCATCCGCAAATTGTTGAAATTACAATCGCCACAAGAGGGCGCACCCCGTAAATAGCTATATACGGCCATATACGTACATTGTAACGTTGCCTTTGCGCGTCGCATAAGCAAATGTCTGCTCGGATTCGTGACTGTACTGATTTTTGCTGATTGGAAACTTTGCGTATCAGACAAGAAGTTGGTTCACATACAACCTTCGCCGGTGTCAAAATCGAGCATCTCTCAAAAAATCTGTATTTTCGACGGATCCGCAGAGCAGTTCCGGCAGCAGCAGTGCCTTGTGGGTAATCTGAGAAAACCCCGGAGGA